TCTTGTATATAAGGCCCTTACTTTCACCTTGCTTTGGTATTAGACTTTGAATTCTCTTATATTACTTTCGAATTCTTATATAAATAAGCATTTCTTATCTCTTTTAATTTGTTATTTACTTTATCAGTTAGATAAAGTAGCCATGTCTTCATACACGTTAAATTTCATTATTTTTCAAATAAAAACTTATTGAACATTATCACGTGACCTCGTGACTTGAACGTCCAGTTAAAATCAATAATACTAACCTTTTGTATCTTCATATACAATTGTTGTCGGTGCCTCTTTCGAATAAAGCCTTATAAATCATCTTTAATAAGTTGCATATTTGACTTAACCTCGATAACCCATTTCACCATTGTTATAGTCTTCATACTATAACACCCCGGTCCCTTGAACTACTTGAAGAGGTACCGTATTGTAGCGAAATAACGTGCCGGAATGTAATTTTAAAATTTGCCCTAAATTAAGCTTAATTCAGGTCATTACTCTAAATAGCGCCCCAATACGGTTGAAACATTTAAAAAAGGACATGTTGATCACTCAAAAAAAATTTACCCCGTGATCTGCATGACAAATTGAGTGACTAATACATACTGTGCACCCATACTATACATTTCTGGCCACCAATTCATTTTCTACGTGCAGAAAAGGAAGGAATAAGAATTGACTTTGAGCACCACCGTAAACTGTCGGGTATATACTATACGCGGGTTTAAAACATGGGGTAAAATACAAAAAGACTGGGTATATAAATAGGAAAAAACCAATAAATAGAATTAACCCCAATTATCGGACCCACGCCCATACAAGAGACCCACGGGTCTAATTATAGGTTTTAAAATTGATGAAATGTAACAGAATTGGGTCTTTGTATCCGTCAGTTTATAGTAATTGGCGTAATTTTACTTAAAGGGGACGATGTTTTTAATCCTTTGATTTTAACTCTAGCTACACTAAATGTCATTTTCAAGATTTTCGTTGGGGCTTTCCTATTTTAAGAGTTGAGTTACGGTACAATTAAATTTGTACACATCGTACGAGTATATATTTGTCAATACCAAACGATAAGTCCTTTAACAAAATAATGGCAAATACTTCAGAAGAGTGGCTTAAGAAAGCCATTTCGGATGGACATATTAATTATATTGAATATGATCAATTTACTAAATATGAAAAAATTGGTGACGGAGGTTTTGGAACAGTTTCGAAATACGAATGGAAAGGTTGTGCGTTGACGGTTGCTCTTAAAAGTCTCAAAGTCAGTACAAATTTCGATACAGAGATCATTCAAGAATTTATCAAAGAGGTATTATATTAAGTTTTATTTACTATATATAATTTACATAGTTATTTCGTATTATTTGTTAAATTCCTATGATTCATGTAATAAAAGCTTAGGCTGTTGCGGATGGTTTCTAATCATCCAAATATTATTGCATTTTATGGAGTTACGAAAGGTATTTTTTTAGTTTTGAAGTATATATTATAGTAAACAATTAATTTAAAAAAGCTTTTATTATAATTAAATAGATAATGATGAGCAATACAATATGGTGTTGCATTATGCTAATAACGGAAATTTACGAGGATACCTTAAAGAAAATTTTATAAACTTGCAATGGGCAGATAAATTATATCTTGCAAAGGAAATAGCACTTGGTCTTATGTTTTTACATAATAATAATATCATTCACCGGGATCTTGTAAGTATATTACATTACACAGTTCACGGTATAATATTTTTTAATTATAGCCAAGCAATTTAATTTAAATTATTTTTATAGCATTCGAAGAATATTTTAATAAATCAAAGACAGCCAAAGATTGCAGATTTTGGGTTATCAAAACAAATAAATGAAGAATCGATGACTTCAAATTCAATTGCTCATGGGATGCCGGCATACATGGAGCCGAAATGTCTTGAAAACCGCAAATATAAGCGTAATAAGAAATCAGATGTCTATAGTTTTGGTGTAATTCTTTGGGAAATTTCAAGTGGAAGGCCGCCATTTCAATCCTTCGCAAATGAGATTGTTGTCATTAACATATTCCAAAAACTTAGAGAACGTCCGATAGAAGGTACACCATCACATTATATTGAGCTTTATGAGCAATGTTGGGATCATGAACCTTCTAAACGTCCAGAAATAAAACAAATTTTCGAAATTATAAATCAAAACGACGAAACTTTTTCATCAAATAATGATTTAAAAGTACAAGAAATCACAACAACATCATCTCCGCTTTATTTACCCGACACAAAAATTTTGGCCTTTTATAGTCCCATAGTCTCTACGATAAATGCATTAGCCAAACATATTTATGAAATTTATGAGATTCGGAATGCACCAAAGAAATTTGACTAAACGAGTAAAAAATGCAGAAAATTTCATAGGGACAATTATAAGAAATTTAGGTGGATATGAAAGAAAATTTCGGCAAAAAGCATTTTATTTAGCTTTTAAACAATATGAAAATGTTCTAACAAATGTTGGAGAATATACAGAAAAAATTTCAAAACTTAAAGGTTATAAAAAATATCTTAATGCAAAGGAAACTAAAGAAAAATACAAAAAATTGACAGAAGAATATGATGCATGCATGAGAGATTTGCAATTTATTACCACTTCTAGTAACGATGATAGAGAAAAAGAAGCTCAAAGAGTAGAAGAATCTCTAAGCGAAGTCGAGGAAGTAGGTAGAATTATTAATATACAAAGTTGATAGCAGAGTTTTATATGATATTAATTCCTATAAATATTTTTACCTATTTTTAGACTCTCAAGAAAGTTGATTGTGGAATCGATAATGTCAATCAAAAACTTGACGCGTTAATTCAAAGTATAGATCTTATACAATCACAAATAACAGATCAACCAAGTAATGTACCTACACGAAGAATTGATCCAAGTGAACTTAGAAGTCCTCTTTTTAAAATTGAAAAAGACATTCGTAGTAATATCTTTAAAAAGTCTTATGGTACGATTGATGTTTCATGCAAATCCATTAGAAATTTCAAAAATTTTGAAAGTGAATTGGCATTACTTGAAAAATTAAGTCAATCCCCATATATTCTCAGTTTTTACGGTCTCTCAAATGTTGATAACCGTGATGTTATGGTTTTTGATTGGGCTGAATATGGAACATTAAAAGATCTTTATGATAAATTTGATATCCCTTGGACTAGAAAAATACAGATTATTCGAGATATCTGTCGTGGTCTTGTATTTTTACGCAGTGTAAACATTTTCCGTTGTGATCTTAGGTGTGAAAATATTTTTGTAAGTTTAATTAATATTATACGTCATATGTAGAAATTTAAGTATTAACCTGAGGTATAAACGGCCATTTATTATTATTTTTTATTACAGATCATATAATAAACTTCTAACCCATCTTTATGTGGAAAGGTGGGTTAGACATTTATGTGATCGTCGGTAATGGATAACACGTCTTTATACCTTAGGTTAATTCAGCTTTTGCAAATGCCAGAATCTTAGGCCTGAGAAATTAGCTCATACTGCAGGTATCATATAACTTCGCTCCAAAGCTTTGGAATTTCGGCCTTGTATCTAATAAAGGAGGGTCTAATAAAATAATAATGAATATTATTAATTGGATGGCTCCTGAATTACTAGAAAAATATAAACATGACAAAAGTTATGAAAGTGCATATACTTTTAATTGTGAAATGTTTAGGTATTTTATTGTTTAATCTAATAAAAATCACTTGGATTAAAATTTACTTATTATTTGCAATATTTAATTTTCATAGTTTTGGAATGCTTATTTGGGAGCTTTGTTATGAAAAATTGCCATATGAAAATTTGGATATCAAAGAAATATCTGAGCATGTTTTAAGTGGTAAAAGAGAAAAGCTTTTGCGTGGAAAGTTAAAAGAAGATGATAAAAAAATTCAAGAAGAATTTATTGACATTATTGAAAAGAGTAAGAGAGAATTAATTTTATTTATTCATTTTAATGATCTTTATCCTATTTATACTGTAATTATACCCTATATATTAATAAATAGCATGGCAGCATCTACCTCATCAACGAGTAGAAATTGCAAAGTTAGATAGAAGACTCGAAAAATTAGCCATTAACTACCCAATTTCTCTAGAAGAAGAATTACTACTCGAAGATAAAACATTAGACTTTGATGGAGAGGAGTATGCGCCGTCATTTAATCCATTAATGCCTCTTAATGAAGGAGTCGAGTTCCATAAAAGGGACGATTATGTAAATGCATGGAAATGTTTTAAACAAAATGCAGAGCTTGGCAATGTAGCGGCAAAATATTGGCAAGGATATTATTATTTAAATGGATATGATGTTGTCGAAATAGATCAAGAGCAGGCCGAACAACTCTTTAAAGAAGCTGCAGATAATGGTCACCCCGATGCACAATATCAATATGCGGTTTTATTATTTTCTAGTCTTAAAGAAGACGATCCTGATGAGATAAAAAAAGAAAATTTTGATAAAATCATGCGTTATTTTAAATTTGCAGCAGACAATAAGAATATTGATGCAATGTATTATTTAGGGGATATATATTTTAATGGAAAACTTAGAGTAGAAAAAAATGAACAACTTGGATTAGATTATTTAAAATTAGCAGCAAATAATAAGCATGAAAAAGCGTTTATTTTATTAACAGAATTAAACGCAAAATAATTTTTATATTTTTTTCAATTCCTTTTATAATAGGGTTTTACTGTGTCTAATAGTTAAAGTAATAACATTTCTTTTTGTCATAAAACGCTTATAATCATGGATTTTTAGGCATCCAGGAAATGTGTCAGGTTAGTGTGCAATGGCTGGATAGTGTTAGATTCTCTGGAAACTTGAATCAAAATAATTTTTAGCAATAACATTGTTAATAATGTTTTTTATATAAACAAATTATGGACAAGTTCATTGCTGAAAGTTTAAGTCAATTTAGTAGTTCATTCATTACATATCAGATCGTGAAAACTCGAATATTCAATTCATTAACCATACTTAAATACCGTAATACATATAATTTCTAATGCTTCAGCAATTTCAACAAATTTAGCCTTTTGATGTTTTAAGGTGAGACTTGAATATCTTTCAATGGACAAGCTGGTAGTTATTCTGTTATTCCAATAATCTAAATGGAACAAGAATTTGAGCTTTATCTTGCTTTAATGAAAAATAACTTGTCGAACAATAACAAATAAAAAGTAAACAACGTCCATCAAATTAAATATTTTTACGCAACAGTGTCATTCAGTGTTGGCACTTCAAATGACCAATGACCAAATGACTAAATGACTAAATGAATTGGTCATTGGTCATTTGGTCATTTACGTTTGAAATTTTATTTCATCGAAGCTCATTTTACAGACAAAGTAATTCTGGTCAATATAATTAGGGTTAGGTTAGAATTAAAGTTAAAGTTAATGTAATTTATAAAAAAAACATGCCGGCTTCGGTAAAATAGACTGTCGGTAAAATGAACTTGACGGTGAATAATTGTCGGTGAAATGTGGCGTCTATGAAGTGATTGTCGATGAAATAATACGGGCCCGATTCAAATACATATATAATATATTAGATTTACCAACACTGGTGTTATTAGACCTTAATTTTGTACTGTATTACAATGACATTATGAATTTTCATTTTTTTACTGTTATCTAACGAATTGAAATCAAAAAAAAAAGAATATCTAAACGTTATGACATTGAGTTGTAACGATTTATGAATCCTTTTTTTTTCCTTAAAGATCCAAAAATAGTTTTTTAAGATCCTAAAATAGGAAAAACTTTTACTAGTGACAATATTGAAAGTTATGTCAGTTGTGACATAAAAATACGGAGCATTGCAATTAGTGTTCTGCAAACCCGGCACATGCGGGTACAAAAAAAATGTTTAAGGCACGAGCATAACTTGATTTTAAAATTTGGGGCCAGGCACGATATAAGCAGTCACCAACAATAAAATTTAATAATGATTGTCATATACGCAACAAATGATACAATGATATTTAACTATATCATATATCTTTTTTTTTTTACGATTTACTATAACTCCAGTTATATTATTATCCACGGTAATAAGCAGGGTGATGATTTATATCGTTATTCGATAAATGAACCTAGTTGTGAAGTGATAATACATAGTATAGACTAGCATATGCGAAAAAACATTGTGGCACTGGCAAAAATTCAAGGCACAATAAAAATAATTACAGGCACTTGGGCACTAGTATTTCTGCCCGGTACAGTGCCAACAGTGCCTGGCATAACGCTAATTGTGCCCGGCACGTTTACTTGCAGAACCCTAATTGCAATGTATGGCTGGGATAATTTTAAAGAATAGTTTACAAACTAATATCAACTTTTATTTAAACCAAGTGCTAAATAGTAAAAAAAAAAAAAAGAATTATCTAAATACTTTTATTTCCTTAATGTTATGTATACAATCGCTATCGCTATAGTTATAAATTCTTAAAAATCTTTGCAATTTAACCGATTTTGAGACACCACAAGAACGTCGCCAAGTGAAAACCAGTAGGGTTGCGACCCAAACCTTTTGTTGAATTATGACATTACTGCGTATATTGGGTTTGGGAATCGGGATTTCCACTTAATTTGGGTCCAAGACAAAGATTGTCCCATTCCAATCAATAGTGTCAAACCTAACTAGGGATGGGTTCTGCTATAAACGACTACGATCGACTATAAGCAGATTGCTAATTCTTTTTTTTTGTTTTTTATAAGTCATTATTTAAGTTATTCAGAAGTAATTTTAGTCATAGTTGCATATTAGATAAATTCAAAACACCTCTAAAATTCAAAACCTTAAAATTCAAAATCTTAAAAATTCATCATCGGTTTCGCGGTCAGTCAAGTCGTTCCATAACTGATGATGAATTTAAGATTTTGAATTTTAGAGAAGGTATTTTGAATTTATCTTAGCTAAAATTTACCTCTGAACAACTTTAATTAATGACTTATAAAAAAAAAAAAAAAAAAATCAAAATTTAATAATTTGCTTATAGTAATCGTAGCCGTTTGTAGCCGAACACATCCCTAAATTTAACCAATTAAATTTGTTAAATTGATTATAACATATCGATATTGAAGACGTCAACTATTTGGTCTATGGATGGGTTCGGTTACACTATAGTCGACTATTAGCCGTAGTCGATTTTTAGCGACCGACGGCTTAGCTGACCGGCTAAAATTGTAGTCGATGATTTTTAATGTCCATTCTATAAAACATCCACATTGTGGACTCACTATACATGTCGATTTTTGTCAAAATCAAAGAATCGTCTAAAGCCAGGCATGTACGTACGTAGTATGCAATTTATACTCATTACATGATTTTTAATTTACAAATTTGCAGTGGCAATGATTTTCTGCAGCAATTAAACCAAAATACTGTTGTTATTAATTTGTAATTTCTGTGATTTTGAAAAATATACAAATTTGAAAAAAAACCAAAATTTTGTTGTTAATTGTAATTTTTGTGATAATTCTATGATTTTGAAAAAAATGCAAATTTTAAATAACTGTGCTTAACTAATCAAATAAGTCAATTGGTCTTAGTTAATTATTATGAATATTCATAATTGTAACATAATTATTTATTATAGGTATTCATAATCAATACAGATATTAGTAATAATTATAAATAACTATAATATCAGTAATAATTATAAATATTCAAAAATATATATTTGCAATATTTACAAATACTTAAATATAAAGAAATATATTCATTAAAAAAATTTAACTAAAGTATATTTCTCTAAAAAAAGCAAAATACAAATCTTTATTATTTTACATATTGAAAAGCCTAATTAACTATTTATCATATAAATAGTAATTATATAGAAAGAATAAAACAAAGGTTGAACAAAATTAACATGTTAAATTATTTTAATATCGCTGAGAAATAAAAGCCAGGATAAGTTGAGACCAGACTTAGATTATATTAATTTATTTCGTACCAACTCAGTCGAATGATTCGAATATTGTTTTAGTTCGTGAACCACAAGTTGACACGAGCCATCCGCTACAACAAAGATATTTTGATATTCATATTTTTTTTTTACACTGGGCCTTCTGTCCAGGTAAAAAAAAAACTAACCATGGAACGGTCTAGTGAAAACTGACTACTGAAACGGTTATACCTTCTAATTAGTTCAAGTGATTTTCACTGGAGCAATTCAGAAACAACATTGATATATATCTATCCAAAAAATTAAACATTAATTTAAATTCTCAATTTCTTATTTCGTACGATTCATATATTTTTTTGTGGTTTATTGATGATCAAAGACGAAAATGACATAGAGATGTTAAAAGTCCAGCCCGGTCCGTGTTGACACCCAAATGTTTTATTAAAGTTCGGTTCCAGGTTAGACTTGGAAATTGGTTCGCATTTCACGTGCATTTTGAATAGCCAAAAAAAAAAAGTGTATTAATGCATATTTTGCATTTTTTTTTTTTTGTTTCTAAATTTAATGTACAAGTTGCATATTAAATGCAAGTCGAGTCTCAAGTCAGACTTGGGACTGAATTTTAATAAAGACTCGACTTTTTTTGAAGTCGTCTCAAAAGACCGAACTTTTAACATCCCTAATGACATATAACATGATCTACTTGTAGGGATGTTACGGTAGGGTGCGGCCTAAACTAATTAAATCAAACATTAGTTAGGGTAATATATGAAGATCATTAATTTCAGATTTTTTATAGGTCATATATTTAAATATAAATTAAATTTACATTTTTTAGCACAAGTATCTGACAAAAGTATATATAATTTTTTTTTAAATTGAAGCTCTCAATAAGATCTATATGGTAATAGAGCTATTTTTTAAATAAAATTTTTAAGAATTCTGGAAAAAATTAATTAAATAATTAATATTTAATATTTATGTAATGATTTTAATAAACCATCGAAAAAAATAGCTATATTACCTTGTAGAGCAAAACGAAAGCTTCAAGTTAAAAAAAAAAATTTATACACTTTCGTTAGATACTTGTGCTAATAAATGTAAACTTAGTTTTATAATGTAATTATATAGATACGTACATATGTACATATAAATCGTTAACAAAATTGATAACCAAAATTTAGCTATTAATAAATCCGAAATTAGTGATCTTCATATATTACCCTAACTAATGTTTGATTTAATTAGTTTGGGCCGCACCCTAATGTTACGGTCCTACAAGAACCATGGTCCGAACCGGTCTTTTGGACCAGTTCGGCCAGTTTTCGGTCCTAAATTGAGGACCGGTCTGGACCAATCCATAGCCTATGGAATGACCTTATTAGCTAAAAAAAAAAAAAAATGTCGATGACCGTATCTATAAGTTTCCAATGTCTGCCTAACTTATTGATTTTTGATCGATAACTTGTCGATTCGGTCATTGTAATGATGTTTACGACTTAAGCCGTAACTAACTAAAAACTTATGTCACAAATAGTTACGACAAATCATTGGGATGATTCTGCTGCATCATTAAGTCATTGGCAATTTTTTCAATTGTCAAAGATTTATAATGATAGCTATAAGGTCTTTTTTATATAAAACCAGCCAATAGACCGATTTATAGACCGGTTATGGACCACCGCGGTCCTCTGGTAGAACTAGTCTTTAGGACCAAACCAAAAAAAGGAAATCAATTTTGTAAATAAACTAAGTGCCTAAAAATAGAAGTTTAGGATTAGGACGTTAGGGCTGTGAGCTTTAGCGATAAGTTGGAGTTTCTTATATGTAAAATTCCATTCCGTCATTTTTTATTAGTCCACAAAGGTCAATTTAAACACTAGTTTTTGAGTATTTTCGCTTTCTTTGCTTTTTTTCTTCTTTCGCACATGTTCGGATTCTATGTCGGGCTGATCCGGAATACCCAAAATTTGTCTGATTAGCCAATTCCTTTTTAGAGGTTTGTATTACTGGCGCAATACGTAAGTGGATGCCTTATCTACTTGTGTGACATCAAGCTATTCCTAGATTCACGGAAGCACAAATGATATTAAAAAGGTATATAGCATTTAATATTAACGAATGAACAAAGGTTAATGAATTTTACATTTCGTGTTACATATATAGCGTAACAAAGACGATGAAACGAGTAAGCTAACTTTGAGAAAGATGACAAATTCTTCAGAAGAATGGCTCCAAAAAGCTGTTTTCGAAGGATATATCAATTATCTTGAATATAATAAATTCACTTACATTGGAAGAATCGGTGATGGAGGATTTGGTTCAGTTTCTAAATATGAATGGAAAGGTTGTAAATTAACAGTCGCACTTAAATGCCTTAAAGCTATTGATGAACCTTTAAATGAAGAAGTTATTAAAGGATTCATTAAAGAGGTAATATTTATCTTATATAAAGCTATATGATAATTATTAACTTTATTTTTGGTATCATAAATTTATATGTTTAATTTTTATATTTTAGCTTAAGCTATTACAAAAAGTTGACAGTCATCCAAATATTATCACATTCTATGGATTTACAAAGGGTGTGCCCATGTTTTTTTTCTTTATTTTAAGAGCATGATATAGAAAACTACATTAATTTAAATAATTTTATTAACGAACAGACAATTATGGACATTATAATATTGTTTTACAATACGCTGACAATGGAAATTTGCGGGAATATCTGAGGACTAATTTTACGAAATTGAAATGGATAGAAAAACTACACATTGCCGAGGAAATAGCGCATGGTCTCGTATTCTTACATGATAATAACATTATTCATCGAGATCTGGTAATATTTGAAATTATATATTTAAATTATATTTAAATCACATTTAATTAGTATCAAGATAATTTTAACCTATATTATTTTATAGCATTCAAAAAATATTTTAATTCATCAAGGTCAGCCAAAGATTGCGGATTTTGGACTGGCAAAACATATAAATGATACATTGACAACTTCAAATTCAACTATCCATGGAATGCTTGCTTATATAGATCCTCAATGCTTTACAGACGAAGGATATAAACGTGATAAAAGATCAGATATTTATAGCTTCGGAGTAATACTTTGGGAAATTTCAAGCGGTAGACCACCATTTCAATCGTTTAAACCAATCGTGATGCTTGGTTATCATATATCTAATGGAAAAAGAGAGGAACCTGTAGATGGTACACCTTCTCAATATGTTGAGCTTTATGAACAATGTTGGAATGCGAATCCTACTGGTCGCCCAGAAGCAAATATTATTCATACAAGTTTAAGTAAATTTATTTCTGAGGAAAGATTAAGCGATGATAATGATTTAAATAAATACATTATTGTAAGTCCCCTAGATCAACAAGTCATAATTTCATCAACGTCATCGCTGTCTAGTGCAACAACAAGTTTTACAGAATCAAGTTCATCTTGCTCAACGGACACAATATTTGAGAATAAATGTGCTGAAGCACGTGAGTGTTTTAATGAAGGCAGATATGTCAAGTCATTAGAGCTCTATAATGAAATTCTCAACGGCCAACATAGCATTGAAGATCAAAGCAATGCTTCAATCTGGAATCTTTCTAATAAAAATCTTGATTCAGAAAAAGTAAAGGAGCTGACCAAGGCTATTTGCAAGAATATTACCCTAGTTTCTTTGAACCTTGCAAATAATCAACTTGGTTTTGAGGAAGGAAAAGCATTAGCGGAGGCTATCTGCGAAAACACTAAATTGACTTTTTTAGATCTTGATGATAATCAACTTGGTCCTGAAGGAGGGAAAGCTTTAGCAAAATCTTTATACAAGAATAGTACCTTGGCTTCTTTATGTATTTGTAAAAACCAACTTGGACCTGAAGGAGGAAAAGCATTTGCGGATACTCTCTGCAAAAACACTACCTTGACTTCCTTGAATCTTTATAAAAATCAACTTGGTTCTGAAGGAGGAATCGCATTTGCAAAAGTTTTTTACAAAAACACTACTTTGACTTCTTTAAATCTTCAAAATAATCAACTTGGTTCTGAGAGAGGAAAAGCCTTAGCAAAGGCCCTTTGCATGAATATTACTCTAGAATATTTAAATCTTACAAATAATCAACTTGGTTACGAAGGTGGGAAAGCATTGGCAGAAACTCTCTGCAAAAACACCACTCTAATTTCTTTAGAAATCGCTGATAATCAACTTGGCTCAGAGGGAGGAAAAGAAATAGCGAAGGCTCTATGCACGAACACCACTCTAAAATCTTTAAATCTTTATAAAAATCAGCTTGGTTCCGAGGGAGGAAAAGTGATTGCAGAAGCTCTTTGCAAGAACACTGCTCTGATTTCTTTAAACCTTAAAAATAATCAACTTGGTTCTAAAGAAGGAAAAGCATTGGCAGAGGCTCTTCACAAGAACAATACTTTAACTTCATTGAACCTTTGGAATAATCAACTTGGATTTGAAGGAGGAAAGGCATTAGTAGATGCCCTCTGTAAAAATACCAAATTGACTGATTTAAATCTTTTTAAAAATCAGCTTGGCTTTATGGGAGGAAAAGTATTTTCAGATGCGCTCTTTAAGAACACCGCTCTAACATCTTTAAATCTTGGAAGAAATCAACTCGGATCTGAAGGTGGAAAAATAATAGCAAGGGCACTTTGTGAGAACGCTACTCTTACTTCATTGTATCTTCCATATAATCGACTTGGTCCTGAGGGAGGTAGAGCATTGGCAGAAGCTCTTTGCGTAAACAAAACTCTTAAATATTTGAATATTGAATGGAATCAACTTGGATCCGAAGGAGGAAAAGCATTAGCGGAGTCTCTTTACAAGAATAATACCTTAACTTTTTTGAATCTTTGGTATAATCAAATCGGACCTGAAGAAGGAAAAATATTATCGGATGCTCTTTGTAAAAACACCACACTGGTTTCTTTAAATCTTGGAGAGAATCAACTTGGCTCTGAAGGAGGAAAGGCGTTAGCAGATGCGCTTTGCAAGAATAATACTTTAACCTCTTTATATCTTGAATGGAATAAACTTGGTTCTGAAGGTGGAAAAGCAATAGCCAATGCTCTTAACAATAATAAAACTTTAACTTTTTTGAATCTTAAAGATAATAATTTTGACTTAGAAGTAGAGAAAATATTAGATAAAACTCTTATAAAAAATTCTGCATTGACTCTATTAAAATAATTGTTGCTGTTAAAACTGAGATTAGCTGAAAATTTTCCGAAAAACTTTTTTTTTAGAGCTAGGTAAAATTTAGAATTGTTAACTGTTAATAAGGTATAATAGGTTCAATAGATTTGAATAGAAACCCAAATTTTCAGCACCAGCCGTGATAATAATTTGTTATTAAATGTTTAAATAAACAATATCAGGTATAAAGTAAAGCATCCGCTAATGTATTAAAAAAAGAAAAAAGTATAAAAATTTTCGCAATTTAAATGGCAAGTGATGGAATTTATCATAGTTTATATACTTTTAGACGTATGTATTATAAGACGCACCTATGACTTTACGTTTTTTATATTTTCATAATTTTATAAATTTGATGCGAAAGATCAACGAAAACAAATAAATTATTCAAAAATTATTAATTTGTTATTATAAATAAAATTAATTTTGATAAACCATCACAAACTATTCTTTTCAACTATCTATACTTACTATGCTTAACTCTTTCTGGTGAAAAAGTTAATTATACATCCAAGTAAAAGATTCCAATATAGATATCGTACCTGAGAAATCTAATATAAATTCATAAATTCAAATTATAAATGTAATGAATTTTTCTATGATGCATTTGTACGAATTTCACTATTAAGCAATCTTTGAGCAGTATGAACTTTTATGTTTGTTTAGTTATTTCGAGCCATTTGAAGAGACCTTTTCTGAATTTGAAATAGGCCAATACGACGATTGATTGTAGTTTTCAGCTCCTCTTTCTGCAATTGATGGGTGTAGCAACAATATAGATTGAATGAATTTCATGAATATTTTTAAAGTTGGTGTCAGTCAAAATTTTATTCGTGCGATTGCTACTACACTATTTCTATGGTCAATAGTTTGTGACATTTCTTCGTCTATAAAATTTTGTTCACTTAGAGGTGCAATACATTATGAGATTTAATAAGTAAAACGTAAGAACATGTTTTGGCAGAAGAATTTATTTATCTTTTTCAGCAGCTGACTAGTGATTTAAGTTGGCTATGGCAGCCGCGGCTAAGCTGGCTTAGCCGGCCGAGCCAGCCAATATAATATGATCGGCTGGCTAATGCGGCTAAAGATGATATCGATATGATTTAGTATATAGTAGGATTCCGGTAAATTCCGAAAAGGAAAATAAATGAACATAAAATACAAGCTAAATTTACCGAAATTTTCCGGAAGTATGGTATTTAGCCAGCCGATTAGCCGATATTTTAGTCAGCTAGCTTAGCCAGCCGACTAAAACCTTACGGCTTAAATCACTACAGCTGACTAATACGTTACACGGCATCATAAAATTGATCACACGAAAATAAGCTTTAACTCTTCATGATTATATGTTTAACACTTCGTGATTATATGTTTAACTCTTCGCGATTAAATGTTTTCTTAGTAGAATATAATATGAGAAGAGTACCTCGTGGTTTACTGAACTTTTAGTAGTTTGACACAATTGAACCGCGAAGTACAACTTAACTCAATTAGAAATATTTACTGAATAATAAGGGCAGACTACCGTCATAAGTTACCGGATAAATCCGTTATCAGTCATGCAGATGTCTTAAACTTAATTATTTGGTCAAATGATTTAAAGTCAGCCTAAGAAGTTGAATTCCTTTTGAATTCAATTTCTTAGTCTGATTTTAAATCCTTGACCAATTAAACCAGTTATCAGCAGTGCCTGCCTGATAACTATTAATTATTTATTATTGGGAGTCAGGTTGTTTAATTAAAATAGGTGGGTTAGTCGTGCCATAAAAATGTCGCAGTTTCGTGATCACCGACCTCTTCCGACGCAATAATTCAGATAATCATTACATTTAAAGGATGTTCTATAGAATAGGTGGGCAAACTCCGCAACTCCGCTAAGTATCTATTAATGATTACTAATCATTAGCGAAGCTTATTTCTTATATTGCCCACCTATTATATAGAACATCCCACAAAATAGTGTCATATCTAATTGTAACATGGGTGTCATCACTTTTATTAATAATAATAGTATTAATGATTAATAAAAAGTGACGACACCCATGCTACAATTAGACATGACACTATTTAGTGTAACAACTTGTCGGACTTCACGATGGCATGTTTTGATTGAAGACCCCATATTATGTAAATTTAAAAACTATCGCTATTAATATTTAATAATGTAATGCGTAATCTGAATTTTCAGGTCGGAAGAGGTCGGTGATCACGAGACCGCGACATTTTTATCGTTATGGCACGACTAACCCGCCTAATTAAATAGTATGTTGGGCAGAGTATGTATTTGGACAGTTAATATGATTGAATTGTTTAGTTCTGTTTCCAGAATTTAGTTTATTACTAACGAATACGGGATACTAATATTGATTAAAAAATTTATATGATGTAAGAATCTGATTCTCGCGTGCAATATAAAAATTTATAATAAGAACTCAGTTGTCCAATTTTAACACATGAGAATGGGCTTATTTTTGGTAAAAAACAAAGAATTAGCGTATTATAACTAATGATTTAAATTCGTATTTTAATAAATTATACCTACCTAAATCGAAAAAATGAGATTATGAATTTTTTTTATATATAAATCTTATTCGCTCGTGAATTATCAATTAAATTTACAAGTTCTTCATTGAACCTGTTAATAATTAAAATAAGCATTTCTGGAAAAATACGATAGGCCAAATCAAGTTTAAATAATTATTAAATATATTAAAACCAAGACTAACAATTTCAATAAATACTTTCTTTCTATAAATATAGCAAATTATTCAATGCTTAATTGTTTCACACCCTTATTCATTAAATCTACCCACTCATTTACAGAATCTTCATTCGAATTATAATTATCTATTTCACAAGTTTCATTATCATATTCCATATCCATCATCAAAAATAAATTATCCCAATAACCTAATTCAGATAACCTAATGGGCGGTGATTTTTCAACGAACCAGTCATGAGCTTTCAATCTTTGTTGCCTTTTGGTACTGGTGTTTGATATGGATTTTGAGATAATAGGTGATGATGAAACAGATGATAAAAGGTCAATTAATCTTAACTCTAATAACAATAATTCAAAAAAATTTGATACAATGTCTATCTGTGTAAGTTCTTTATAATCATCTGCAATGATGCCTTCTTTATCATCATCTTTAGTGCTGTTATCTTTGTTCAAAATCATGCCCCCCTTTCGACTACTTCTATTAGTATTACTTTTATTGGAAGTTAAATTTGCATCAGCTCCCGTTGAAGCCTAAAAAAAAAAACAGGTAACAAAATAAATAATATTATTAAAAATAAATACAAAAAAAAAAAAAACAATCATTTAAATATTATACATACTAATTGTTGTGGATCTAAAAACTTTTCAAATCGCTCAGCCCGTCTTCTACGTCGTTCTAATTCGTCAGCATCAACAGCAATCATTGAGTCTTGAGAAATTAAGTTTGTTCGTTGTGAAAGATTTTCATTGCTGGTATGATTCTGATTATTGCGGCGCAAGTCATTATTAGTGCTCTTGCTTACAGCTCTACCTACAACGCAATTGAAACACTAATGTAGACGGAATTGTTGAATTCAGAATTGACCTATAGATGAATTAATGTTAAGCAAACCTCGATTTTTTCCTCCTCGATTTCCTCTAGGATTATTGTTCCGCTGATTATTGGAATTAGAATTTGAATATTTACGAGTCATTTCGTTTAAAATACTTCAAAATGTTTTTTTTTCAATTTACGTATAAATAAAGTAAAAATAACGATCAGTGTAGTTGTGAAACGCTTTATGTATCTGTGATTATGTAATCATGTGTAACTACTGTACTCGGGAATACACCGTAATGTTTTTATTTCCGTATGGCTTTATTAATTAGTGCAGGTAATACAAGCTTCTGGAAAGACGCTTAGAGGCTATAGATTTGCAAATTATAATCTATTAAATCTGTAAATTTAAAATTTCGTTTCCAACATTTTTAATTACAGCATCAAGATCTATTTTGACATTGGTTTTCTCGAATTTTCGTTTGCTCACGTTTGGATAATCAAAGCTTTGCTTTCTGACTGTTTCCATTTATGAGTTTTGTATTACCGGCACAAATGCGGAGCCCAAGGAGAGACGGCTGGTTGGGAGAATGATCTGTACTGATTGTTATGAAGCCTATTGAGTTACAATTATCAACGATAATATTGAGAATTATCGAAGAGGAAATTATTGCATCATAAACTACTTTATTTGCTTAATAAGGAAACCCGTTCTTTTATGACGTATATTATACGTACGTACTGTACGTACATAGTGACTTTGTACTATCCTGCGAACCAAGACTAGCACGCTTCAATCCCAATCCATGGCTAATACTGTACGTATTTACATAGCCTTGTACAATTTGTTTCAATGATCAAATTTTTAAATGCATGTAAAGGCTTAGTTTACTAGAATGGGTCAAGATTATCGATTTTAACGGGATCTTGCGGCAAAGCGTTTTTTGGCTTAACGAGAAAATTTCTGTTTATCCACAGCATCAACAACCAAAATCTTATTTGAGAATTCCGTTAATCTTTAAAAGTTTTGAAAAAAGAAAAAAAAATCCAAAATCGGGAAAAATCTTACATTTTTAACTTATTTCTCATCTATCCAAATTGATAAAAAAATTTTTCACTTTGTTTTTAAAAATTGGGTATTATTCATGAGTCTAATTATTTCGCTTAGAGGTTTACTTTATGTAGTAGGATATCATTTTGGGAATACTGTATGCAGTGTCCAACGTTATTAGAACTTATAAAGTTTTTGCTGGAATACATACGTATTGACTATCGAAAGCTAAGACAAATGTTTACTGGATTGTCTGATTACAAACATCGTGCAAGTGATATGGTTACGAATAATAGCGCATTTTTGGAAATCAATAAAAATCAAGTTTACAATTAGCCAGAATTGAGCGAACGAAGCGAAAGCCTTTCAAGCCTTACTTTACTGAATTTTAGAAATGCCTAGCTCCACTTCAACTGATCCAAACCTAAATTAAGAAATTAGGTTTAACGTTTGGATACCAAACCTCGTTTTAAAATGACTTTTTAAGTACTATTTATTCCACGTATCTATATAATCACATGATGACATTCTCACTTATCAACTAATTTTCCGGAAATTCTTGTTATTTCCCGTGTAATTTTCTTATTTTTCCCGGGTGCACTTTAAAATTGAAAATACTATAATTTTTTATAGCGCACGACAGTTTAAAATCTTAGTGGTCGCAATAGTATTATTTAAATGAAGATTTTAAAAATCACTTAAAAGAATACAATAGACATTTATGGAGAAGATTTTATTATAATTAGCGCGGCGACTTCATATTGAAAAGGTTTTTAAACTGTTAATTAAAATGGTTACATTTAAAAGATCTTGATTATAATTCTCTTAGTCAGTATGGCAAAAAGTTACAAAGAGCTTTACGATATTGATTAATTCTAATACTATAAAAAATACTGTCAAGATTTTAAATAAATTTAATAACAAGTTTAAATCTATTTTTTTTTAAAAAAGAATATTACTCCTTTCAGCAAGATATTTTTATAAAAACTTAATAATTAAAAATAGTGTACGAATTTGGGATAAGTACACTCCCCTGACAGTGATTACCGGAATTTAATAATAATCACGAAGATTCAACCTAATTTAATGATAATATAGCCACATATAAAAACAATTTTTTTTTATATGCGAATCATTTTAGTATTTTAGGCCGATGCAAACAAAGAATAAAAAATAAATAAAAATTTTATATAGCAACACATTCTTGAACTATTTGAGATTTTTATAAAAATTTAACTCTATATACTTTAGAACTTGGAATTAAGGCTTTAACTAAATATGAAAAATACAGTTTTCAAGTTATTATGTTATTTAGTTAAAATTTTAATTTAAAAAAAATTGTATTTTTTACATCGTTATTTAGTTAAAATTTTAATTTAAAAAAAATTGTATTTTTTACATTGTTATTTAGTTGAAATTTTAATTGAAAAAAAATTGTATTTTTTACATCTTAAAATCATATATAATAAAAGGAAAATTGTATTTATAACACCGTGTTATATAACACCTTATGCTATATCTCAAAAACATACTAAGTAAACAGGATCGGGTCCTCTAAGTAAAAATGTTCAGTACCCCAAAAACCTCACGAGAACTGATATCAGGCCCATAGTAGCTCTATATTATATTATATAAAAAAAATATAATTCTCTAATTTCTAACCCTAACCCTAACCTATCTCTAATTAAAACTATATAGATGTTATCTAATATGGGTGTTATGAATATAATATTTCATAATAATATATATATATATTTAAACTTTAGCAATCCTGCCTTTATATACCTAGGAGTACATATTAGATATATATAGTATTCAAACAAAAAGCCTGCAACAACTAAATGCCCTCAACTCTTCTACTTTGAAATAAAGACTCACTTTGTAACATGATGTTTTATCTCAAGAACGTTTCTTTATTATTTTTAAATAAAAAGGGCAAGAAAATTCAATTCTTTAATTCCTTTATTTATTTGCTATATTTATGCAACCTCTATCCTACTTAATAATTACTACATTCTTTATGCACTGCTCTGATACATTCATATGACTTAATAATTACTACATTCTTTAAGCACTGCTTTGATATATTTCTATGATCGTTTGTATCTTGCGACCCTAATTATTACTTTATACTTACTCTATACTTGTGCTGCGGACAATGATCACGTTTCGTTGTCACAATTCTCTTTGTCATGATCATGATTGTTATACAAATCACGATTATTGTGCAAGTCATGTTCCCGATAATCTATTTCTTTACACACTTGGTTGCCCAAATTCAATTTGCTACAACATATATACTCTCATCTTTGGAGATCTAACTTTCTAGACTTATATTTATTAAATTACCAAAAGCTTATATTAGCTTTGTTAGAATTGCCTTTTCTTTTTTAATTTTTTCTTCTTTACAAAGGGCTTAAAGAAAATATAAAAATATAAAAAAAAATAATAATAATAAAACAAATATAGCTATAAAAGAGAAAAATAAAAATAAAAAAAAAAATAAAAAAAATAATATAATACAAACAAAAGAAAAAAAACAAGAAAATAAATATGACCCTATTTTTATCTAAAGAAGGCTTCAAAAATTTTATAATACTAAATAAAAATAACTTTATTTTATCTTTATTTTTATATTATAAATAGGTCTGCTTTGATATATAAAGAGTATATTAGATTTTTAGGATCTTATTTAGTATAGGTAAGAATATATAAATATTTTTTTTAAAAAAAATTCAGCAGTTTTGCCTCTACTTTATTAGTTTTAATAATATTATACTTTGAAATATTAAATTTTTTAAAGAGCTATTCCCCCTGCCATCTAAATTACAAGTATCAGATCTCCTGGTTGTTCTCTGTGAATATCTATGTATGACCTGCTATAGTAAGGTTTACTTCCATATTAATTTACCCTGCAAACAAGTTCATCAATACTTCATCAGATAGTTCTTACAGCCTGTCAAGATTACTAATTTATTTTCCACTAATCTGCCCTTTGCCCACCATTTATCCAATTCAAAACTTCATTTTTTCCTATATCTAAGATTGTTTCTTATTTTGTTTTGGCTTCATTTATTTGTCTTTTTTTTTCTTACTTCAAACTATTTTTCAAGGATCCCCAACTCTTTATTCTTAATCTTTTTCAAAAATAAACATCATACTCAGGATTTACAAGTAGTTCTTCCTAATATAATCAGCCTGATAGTTTTGAATATTGTACTACTTCTATATTAGAATTTACTTCAATATATAAAATCTATATATACAATATCTCAATGAGCATGTTTTTAGCTAGAAATATGTATGAAATTCACAAGATTTCTATCCACATAGTGCACCAAATTTATTAATAAAATTTTAACTATGTACACATAGAACACATTGTGCAAACGGTCTATTTATATATATATAAATTAAATAAATATTTATATAAAATGTTTTATAGTATTATAAAAACTTATAGTGCACTAATTTTAAAATTATTTAGATAATATAAAATGAATCTATGGTGATCATCACTATATTACTACATGATATAGTATTATGCACTTGTTATTGATTTAATGATTAATAATTATTACGCGATATTACAAAATTTTTTATTTTAGTTGTTTTACTAATTTACTGATCATGGTCAACTTACCTTTTTCTAGCGTTAGCACTACTACACACAGTAGCACTACACACAGTAGTCATATAAGTGTTTATACAGACGAAATTAAAGCATCTGAGGACAGTTTTAGCAATTTTAACATGCATTGTAATGATGAAGAGACAGTAGCTGAAGAAATTGAGGCAAATTTAGAAGAAGAAACTAATTCGAATTTAGAAAGTAAAAGTGACAAAAAAATTTTTGAGAATACTTATTCATTGGCTGTGAATAAAAAATTGGCTCATAGAAAGAAGTTAATAAGTAAGTGCATATTTAACAATCTTGAAAATTAAATGTTTTATTTTGAATGTTTTGAATTTTAATTTTATAGTGAAGGTCTTTTATGTTTATATTATTTTAAGGTTTTACAAATATCAGTATGGTATGACTGACTGGATCAGTCTGGTACAAATCCATTTTTATCAAACCGTACTATACTAATCTGCTTATTATATAATATCAAAATGGTATAGTATGGTTTCTCTTTAAAAATCGTACTATACTAGCTTTGCTTTATATATTATCACAATATATAGTATGGTATAGTTTATGTGTATTTAAAAATCATACTATACTAGTCTGTTACTATATTAAAAGAATTATATTAGCAGATCAGTATAGTACAGTTGATAAAATCATATTTATACCATACTGATCTGAACAGTCTTGATTTTTATAATACGTAATCAAAATCTCAAATAGTTCAAGAATGTGTTGCTATATAAAATTTTTATTTATTTTTTATTCTTTGTTTGCATCGGCCTA